GCCTTGATGTACCTGTGAGGAAATTAACTAGTCCAGGATGTGTCTCTACAGTAAATATATAAGAGCAGTTACAGTACATATTGGTATTTGTGTTGGATCTGTGTTATTATATAACAAAATGGCTAGAAATTGCTTGTTTCTCTTTGCGTTTTTCAGCATAATCTCTGCCTGCTGTGTCTTCAGCACACAGTTGATTATCACATCTTTTTGATGCATTTCCTTGTCCTTACAACAGAAAACCTGTAAATGCAAAACACATCTATAACAGAAACCAGTGAGCAGTTGTTTATTTCGGTTAAGCGTTTGTGCATTAATTTGTCTAATTTATTCTTTATAAGTTGAGACTAGTTTTAAGGGAAGATGTTGTAGTAATACGTTGTGGTGTATTGTAGGTAAAACGATTCCCAAACTCGGTATTCGATTCCATACATGTTTTTTTTTTGATACAGCAAAAATATGGACTGGCTGAAAATGTGCCTTATGGTTAATATGTTAATGTTACTACTTTCAGTAAAACAATATTTGAAATTAAAAGCAGTGATTTATAGTCGTCCGATCTAATGCTCTGGCAACAAGCTGATATGTTAGCCCCAGACTAACACGCTAACCACAAGCTAACACACTAGTTACAATACAGTAATACAAAATGATAAACTGCGATACAATTTGAAATGATTCGTTGTATTGTTATGTCTCTAGTTTGTTGGTATGGGTGGAGTTTACACAGACTCCAGACTGATTATGCATAGACACCAGAAAACCTTGAAGGGGAATTGCACCAATTTCTCAAAATGTCTGCGTAATTCAGTGGAAAAGCTGTAAAGAAAGTCATTCAGAGTGTTTTAATAAGAAATAGTGTAGTATAGAGAAACTTACTAGCTCAGATGGGGTCACTATGTCTACAACACAGCTTCAGCCATTTAATTTATATGTAATATTGATGGTGGTGATGGTGATAAATCTTTAAAAATATCATATTTCTTAAGCTGGGCCTACACTACACGAGTAGTCTCCTGATTGTAACCCCAAATTGCCCCTTTTGACAGATTAACAATGTGAAGCGATTTTCCAGGTCTGGAACTCGATCAGAAGTGACAAGTTTTTCATCTCAGACTATCTGAATACTTGCATTTTTGCACATTTTACTTCACTTTAACAATGTTAGCTGCTAGAATTACTGTATCTACCAAATACTGTATTCCATTGCTGTTCTGGTTGCTACCTCAGTGACTGCTATGCTCATATATGCTAGGCTATCTGCTAAGCTGTTAATATGTCATAGTATGTTACATCCTCCTTAGCACAGCTCCACATACTCTCAGTACTGTGTACTGCCTGTGTTCTGTTTTGTATTTATTGGAAGTCTTTCATATTTATTTATCATACTGTATTGTCTGCACTGTGTATATTGTGTTGTCTTGCACTTGTGTTCCTGTGTTGGTCCTGGAGGAATGTTGTTTCGTTTCACTGTGTACTTGTATAAAGCCGAAATGACAAAACCTGACTTGACTTGACAGATCATCTGAAGGGAAAAATGAGTCAATCTCTTGTCTCAGATCAAGCTTTGGGGGCCTTCTCATATTTTCAAAAATGTTTGCTATTTATGACTCAAAATGTTAACAAGGCATGTAGTGTGAGATGGTCAGCAACATAACTGAATAAGTGCATAACACCCAGCTTTTGGGGATGATTTTGCCTTGCGATGCCGTCCATGTACTTCTCCACCATAAAAATATGTTTTTAGGACAAATCTTCTCTCGAAACAGTCGTAAAATAATGTCTCAGACATTTCACCTGAAACCACTCTAAATTACTGTTCTTTACTTCTTCTAAAAATGGGACCAAAGTCTCATTCTATTGACTGTAGTTTTGAATTTACAATGTATAGTAATGTATTGACAGGTTTCATATGTTTATATATAGGATTGCCCAATAGCTACTCTTATAAACATGATGGTACAGACAGCAGACAGAGGGCTGAAAAATGCTGGAATATTCCTTTAACTCACATATGAAGTGGAGTTGCTTTCAATCACTTGAGGAATATTACTGAGAAATGCAATTTTTGTCTCTTTCCATCAGATCTTCTGGTACAGACAGGGAGAACTGGAGCCCAAGTTCCGCAACCTGATCTACTACATGCTTGGTTCGATCGTCCTGCTATGCATTTGTGCCAACTTATACTTTCACGATGTGGGACATGAGAAACAGAGCAATGCCTTATGATAGGAACATGAACTGTTTCACAGTGGTGGAAAACTCCTGACCATGCGGGTCGACCAGAACGCCACACTCAGAACTGGAGTTCTCAGGTGAGGGTTCTGAAATGACGGAAAAAAGGAGAAAAATTTCTTCCTACAGCCCCTTTTGAGGGGCAGGGCCAGTCTGCCTTTGGAAGCCTTCTGAAGTGGACCAAGTGTATAATAGACGCAAACATATGCATAATCAGTAGCACTCTGGGAACTTGATGCAGATATTTTGCACCCTGATTGCTGTACACAGCTTGCATAGCTATATATGCCAATGTAATAATGAGACTGAGGTCTTGAATAAGCCATGGTTATGCTGCATAAAGCTTTTTATATTTGTTGTACATAACATGGAACATACATTCCCAGTTGAGATTACTTGCATTTTTTTGATTATGGGAAAAACAAGCAATCTTGAAATCGCAGCACTTATGAAAACAGAGTTTCTGTTTCTAAATCGCCGGATACTGTGTTATTTGATACGGTAAAGATCAATGATTGTTGATATGTCATTTATAATGTGCATTTTATGTAAGAAAAATATAATAAATCCATATTCCCACTGTGTACTATGGTTGTTTATTTTTAGGTGATCAGTGATTAATTTTGTCCACTCAGAGTGAGGTTTACACTATGAAGGTTATGTTAGACAAAGCTGCTATACTTACATGTGCTTCTCTACCAACAGCCTGAAATTAAACACTAAACACACTGTAAGTACACAGCAAGACGAGCCTTCAAGTTCTCCAAGTACTGAATTGTTTAGGCAACTGTGTGCTTACTTGCTGCTAAGTTGATATCCATGGCAAAGATTTTTTTACTTACACAAGTTATAAATTACTTATCTGCCATCCATCCATCCATCATCTAAATCGCTTATCCTTCTGGGTCGCGGTGGGGTGCTGGAGCCTATCCCAGCTGTCATTGGGCAGAAGGCAGGATACACCCTGGACAGGTCGCCAGTCCATCGCAGGGCAGACAGACAGACATACACATTCACACCTAGGGGCAATTTAGCACATCCAATTGGCCTGACTGCATGTTTTTGGACTGTGGGAGGAAACCGGAGTACCCGGAGGAAACCCACGCAGACACAGGGAGAACATGCACTTATCTGCCATGATCGCCATTTTATTTACTATTCAAAACCACGACTGATCCTACATGTATCTGAAGTTTTTAGTTTGTAACGCCAATAATGGTGTAATAGTGGTAAATCTGGAAAAAAAATTTATTTGGAGACTTTTTCACCTTACAACTCCCTACATGTAGCTCTCCGCTACAGTTTTAGGGCAAAACCTTTTTGTAACACTGTAAAACAGTGTCTCTGACATCAGGCAGCATAGCTTTCAGAAGCATTAGACTCTTCAGACGTCTGGTTCCTATCAACACCATTGTAAACAATTCTGATTTGGTATGTTTCTCCAGAACAAAGCATTTTACATCTAACTCTGAATGATGTTATGTATGTCTTAACCATTTAATTATGCAGAAATCATGAAAAATCTGTGGAATTCCCCTTTAACACCAAAGCACTCGAGAGAGAGTGCTAGCCTACACCTTCATTTCATTGTGGGAAAGCCTTTGCTACAACTGTCTGTTGAAAAGGCCTATTCCTATTGTGTTCCTATTCTTTCTTGGAACACCCTTCTACCTGATCATGTTAAATATTGCTGTTAAAAACTCGTAACTCAGACTTCGATTTGAAAAAAAAATCTGCTGCCTTTTACACTGTGTCCTTCATTTCATGAAAAAGGGATCAAAATGTCCCATAATTACATGAAATAAAACCGTGCTACTTTACATTAAAGGACATGAAACATTACATTAAAAATCCTACATTTTTCTCGTTTAATCTTTTTTCTTGAGGACCACTTTTAATGCCTGTGCAGCTTTATGTAACAAAAACAGTCATAATTCATTTCTCTGTTACCTTTTTCCAACCTCTCTTGATCCCTTAGAATTAACCTGCTTTAAAGAATTCCCCAGATTTTCAAAATTTCTGCATAATTCAGTCACCAAGATTTCTCCAAATGACACAGTTTACATCTTTACGATTTAATTATGCATTATACTGGGATGGAACACTCCTTATAACTTCAGTGTGAATGAGCGGAGCTAAACGTCTGTAGGCTGAATAGGTAGATATGTAAATAGGTTATTTTTTGTGATATTGCACAATTATCGTCTGTATTTGCAGCCTAGTTTTCATATATGGACTAAGGAGTGGCTGGTGTGTAACAGTCTTTACATACTACATCAAACTCTTTCTGTATTTCAAAAAAGTAAAGAAAATGAGTTTTTCCAGGCCATTTAAAGTTAAGAACATTGTTCCCTTCTCCTATTAAATTACCATTTCAAAGCTACAACGTTTTATTAAGACAGCGACAGAGTAAGGTCAGTATATCAAGGGCACTGACGTCCAGAGGTATTAGTTCCAACCTCACAAAGGCCCGGCTGATCTCACTAATTAGGCCCTCTTCTTTGTTTAGGACAGCTCATTAGAGAAGTCAGACTGTGCCTCACAGGGATGGAAAGAACATGTGAATACGCTTCTGTTCTTGAGAAAATTGAGGACCCCTGATGAAGATAAAATCTCTAATGAAGCCTGTGCTTTCATAGCACATGGGGGCAGTTGAGGGGACCGACTGGAGAGTTCAGTGTGAGCTCTTCTGACCTAGCATGCTAAAGCAGGACAAACATAAATGTGGAAAATATTAGCATTCCCTAAAACACAATGGCAACCTGACACACGGTGAATAACATTTTGTTTATTCAATAAATAAACACAAACGCAGAAACTCACATACAAAAGAAAACGTAACCCTTTTATAAATTAACAGCTGTCCAGACTTGCACACGTTTAGAGTTTGGCTAACATCCTGGTACTACACCCGAACATGGAACCAGTGCATCTTGACAAAGTTCATAAAACAGGAATAATAAGTGGGAGAACAGTATTCGGAAATACTTTAAAATAGTTATATTCCAAAACAGTGTAAGAATTTACGTTTAAATGAATAAAAAATGTGTTCTATGGTTGTACCTTCATGTCCAATTCGACTGAATTATGACAAATGTACAGATACTATACTGCTGAACAGATCAATACAGGTATGCATACAAGTAACCTGTTTGTACGCGTGCCCCACAGTCTTGCTCATGATGTGAGAATTGGCTCATAATGTTTAAAAACAAATAAACAAACAAACAGAGTCAGTTTGTGACACCCAACACCCTTTCATGGGTAACAGAATCAGTTATGGCAAGGTGTAGCTAATTCAGTAATGCACAAGGCTGTATGAAACCGAGGTTTCATTTAAACAGCTTACCATATTTGTCTCCTACCTTAAACCAACTGCCTGGGCACGTGGTCAGTGGAAAGCTACAAAGCCTTTACATTAGCACTTAATGCTTGCCAACTACAACATTTCTACACCGGCAGGATGTTTTAAGAATGGCAGGTTGCTCATCCAGAAACAATATGCTGTGTTCTCCTGCACTGGACTAGAGTTGTAACTGATCTATGGCTCTATTTCACAACGTTCACCACACAGCTCCTCAGGCCAAGAGTAGCTCTTAGTCTGAGCCTTCTTCCTGGTTCTGAAGAATGGGATCTGAAGGGCGCAAACAGAGTCAAAACGTTAAGGAAAGCAGAGTTGAAAGTACAAACTTTCCTGGTCACTCAAAAGCGGCTGTGGACTCTCACCTGTCAGTGTTCCGACAGGAAGGACGGAGTCTGTGGTGATGTCGCTGCTTGGGATGAAGCTGCTAGGAGATGGGACGATAAGCACAGCACCATCACCTATTCCAGAATTCCCCTCCTTCACTTTAGATCCCTGAGCCTGGCAAGAGAGAACGGGACAGAATTGCTGTAACAGAATGACAGAATATTACTTTACCGGGATTTAGTTAAAACTAACTAACTAAATAAATAAATAAAACAAAACAGATGGTTCTGGTCTTAAATCTCATTTGCTCAGCTGCGTTTGAAGCCATTTGAAATCATTAATAAATACACACAACTGAATCAGCAATTGAACTCTGTATTACTGAGCTAAATCATGAACAGGTTTGTGCTGTTAATGTAATAATCTTTGACTGTAATGTTGCTCACAAGGACCACCGAGTGTACTGATGTAGGGAGTAGGGAGGCATTTGAAATTTAGCACCAGCATAGGAAAAGTGACTTGCAATGCCACTAGCTTGGTGCTAAATAGGACTGGAAATTGCATAGAGGTGCTAATGTAAATTAGCACTGTTCTCACAGAGGTAATTTGGTGACCAAAACCTGCTTATAGCATGAAGGTTTCGTATTAAACACTACCATATTATGATTTGTTCATTATTACATGACAAAAGTTGAAGAACCTGGTTCTGTTTAAACTGAGGAGTTGACACCTAAAACTAGGTTGACTAGCTAGCTAGCAGGCTAAAAGATAGCTAACAGGCTAAACAACCCCTCCAATAATATAACTGGGTTTGAATTAAAGTGCCATAAGTAGCATCACACCCAGGTTGAATCTCAAAGGCTCACTAAATAGTGCGGTATGTAAGTTATGAAAGTGTGGCTTATATAATAGTGCAAATAGTGCACTATTCATCCAGTATGGATTTGCACTATGTAAGTCCCATGTGTCAAACACAAGGCCAGTGGGCCAGAGCAGGCCGCCAGACAACGTGTTCCGACTCTTCTACCCCAATAACAATCTATAGGACAGCGGTTACATCTCAATTCTACACAATTCTACACAATTCTACACAATTTCACACCAGTCACATCACCAAACACACTAGCTGGATTTCAGCTGCAGTTCAGCCAATATAAACACTTAACGTCAGCTCAGCAGCTCAGAAATTGAGTCCGAGTCTTAATGAACTTACAGTAAAGAAAGGATGCCAGGTGTCTAGTTCAAGCAGATAGGTAGGTTTAAAAGACTGAGCTCCTGGGGATGTTTAAATTTGAATATTTCTAGTATTCATGTAATATTTTAAGGTCTACTACAAGTCTCTGTATTTTACTGCTGACGTTTTTGCATATTTTGAATAAAAATGGCCAGTTTGGGTTGTAGCACAACATTAATTAAGAATGAAATAAAAACTTTTGTCTCTGGCCCACAGATTTGATGAGATTTTTTAATATGGCCCTTTCACTGGTTGAGTTTGACACCCCTGATGTAGGGAGTAGGGAGGCATTTGAGATTTAGCACCAGCATAGGAAAAATGACTTACAATGCCACTAGCTTGGTGCTAAATAGGACTGGAAATTGCATAGAGGTGCTAATGGAAATGTTCTCACAGAGGTAATTTGGTGACCAAAACCTGCTTATAGCATGAAGGTTTTGTATTAAACACTACTATATTATGATTTGTTCATTATTACATGACAAAAAAATTCTGAAGTTCATAAAATGGCTGCAATATCCAATAATGGGTGACTAAACGTTCTTGTCCTCCTTCAGCCGTCCATGGTTTCTTGGCAACAATAACATACAACAATAACAATAATATTTAACATATTTTATCATAGTTTATGTTGTCTGCCATTTTATAAAAGCAATAAGCCACGAGAAGCCTTTCATTACAGTGATTTTAGCATGGCTACATCACTCTAACTCACTCGCCTCTCATGGCTTATTGCTCTAATATACACAAACACAGAGCTTGGCTTGACCCAGGATCAAGTTCTTCATGCTGCTTTCAGGCTCTTACTGTAGATTTATATCAATTAGTTTTAGCAACATTCAATATGCTTGTTATTATTATTTTTTTGTTCAAATCACTTTGAGAAGTTGTTTAGGGGGCAGTCATGGGCTGGAGGTTAGGGAACCAGGCTTGTGAAACGAAGGTTGCCGGTTTGATCCCCTGAGCTGACAGTATGTGACTGAAGTGCCCTTGAGCAAGACACCTAACCCCCAACTGCTCCCCTGGCGCTGTGGATAGGGCTGCCCACCGCTCCGGGCAATTGTGCTCACTGCCCCTAGTGCACGGATGGGTTAAATGTGGAGGTGAAATTTCCCTGTTGTGGGATTAATAAAGGTCTCAATCTAGCTTGGTAAAGGTATTGATTTATAAGGGAAAAACTCAGAGTCTGTTATTGGAGATTTATTGAATAATATACTAGTCAAAAACATTTCATAATAGAGTTTTGCTTTGACGGCCAAGATGCAACGGTTTAAAGAAGCATTTGTCAGCCTGTTGTATACAGGTTACTGACAGGCAGTGAAGCTACTTATATGTTCAGACAGCATTGAGGAAGACTTGGGATTATGGGACGATACTAAAATAGGGTCATTATGAAAATTCTGCACATTTTAATGTTGTGGCAGTTCCTGCTAAAGAAAAATGAGGTGAGGCGCAGGGCCCATGCATAAGGCTTTCAGTTGGTCCAGCACCCTTGGGATTTAGGATGAGACAGACATGAGACAATGTCTTACTAATGTTCCTTTTTTTCTGGTACTCATGTACAATCAAGCAGGAACCTCCACCCATATGACTATGTTGGTGACAAACTAGTAGAGATGGCATATTGATATTGATGGGTATTGGGATCATGTCGATATCAGTAGAAAATGCTGAAAAACAAGAAAGAATCCAATGCAATCTTGTAACAAATCTGTCCTGAAATAGCTCTCGCTCACACTGTATGATGTGATGTTAGCTGTGTGGGGTAGTAGAAGAGATTAAGGAGAAGTAGTAGAAGAAATATCAGATTGGTATCAGCCAAAACTCAAGGTTTCAGTATCAGTATTAGTATTGTAAAAGAAAAGTTGTATTGTGTCTCTCTGGAAAATCTATAAAAGAATCAATTATACAGATATGCAACTATATTTACCAAAATCTTTGACTGAAAAAAATCATTAAAGTACTTATAAACATGTTTTGCATAAGCGTTTACTGACTGATCTCAGAAACTGCTCATTGGTTTCTATTATTTTCTTTTCTAAGCATGAGGAAACACATCAAAACTGTCTGTGGTAACTTACTACAGGCTACAGATGCAGCAGACAGAGATTAGGTTGGAAAAAATGCTGCTGTATTCCTTTAATAGCCCAATGCTACTCAGTAGAATTCTGTGACAAAATAAGATATACAAGATTGCACTGAATGAGGCTTCAGGGAAGATTACCAAACTTGCTTGTCCATCTGTCGTACCTTGTCTGTTATGGCTTTTGAGCTTGGCTCACTAGACTCCCCCTCCTGCTTTGAGTGTTCTGTGCTCTCAGCAGTCTCCTCATTGGCCAAGTCCTGCTCCGCAGCCAACTCTGATTGGTTGAGAGGGTCGGCGAGGTCCTCCGAGGTCACAGTTTGGATGATGATGCCAGGGTGAGACATCTGCACTGTAACGTTCTCACTCAGACTGTCCGCCTGACGGTTGGCAGAGTATTTGTTCGTGAGGGAGAGACCAGATAAAAAGAAATAACTAATTAACGAAATAACTAATTAAATCTTAAATTGTTGCTAATTTATTTGTGCTAATATACACAGTCATGTAGTGAAACTCAAACACACACTCACAGAGAGACTGTGTAAGATGATTTGGTCTGGGGAGCCTGGCGATGCTGCGGCGGTGAGTGTCACAGTGGGATTAGCCGTGAGCGTGAGGGGGAGGCTCTGATTGGACCCCGTCTGCAGGAAATAGGTCCCGGGAGTGCCCGTGGGCTGCAAGTGGAAGGACTGCACAAGAAGGGCAGAGGAGAAAAAGAGGAAAATCACAACCCTTAAACCTGATCTTCATCTGAATCAAAATGACACCATGATGTGCGATGCCGTCCGAACAAAACCACCACCTTCGAAATGCTACTTCATGAAGGAAAGACAACATTTTTTTAATTTGAGTTCATGGAAAAAGATGTTATCCCAAGTTGGGACCATTTCTGTTGGGCCACTTTCATATAAAAAGCCACTGGCCTTTTCAAAGTAACAAAATGAAAAAGTTGAGGTTTTGATATGACAGCGACCGAGCGACAGCATGCATGTTAATACTTATGCCACTCACTGGTAGCAGTTCAAAGGCTTGCAGAGCTCCAGAGTTCAGCGTGATTGTCCCACTTTCAGAGGTACCACTCGCACTGTCTGAAGATGCTGAAACACACAGTTAAACAGACTCAAGTTAAAGACACACCTACAAGAGTTCATGTGTCCACATAGTGCATTACAGGTTTGTACTCACAGACATGTGTGATCTGCACAGGGATCTGGACGGGGATTTGCAGTGCCGTGACAGGGCTGGGAGAGGCGTTAGCAGAGCGAGAACCCACCACCACCACCTTATTCACTGTAGATGATGGAGCCTCCACAACATCCTGCAGTCCTTTCAACAAGACTTCATACAGACATAGACAGAGGACCAGATGAACATCTAAAGCTGGAGTGAGAGTTCTGAGAACACATGGACGTTCTGTTCAGTTCTGAGAACATAACGCTGCTGTCGGAACAAAACCTTGTATCCAAAATGACAACTTTACAGGGGAAGGAAAAAACATACTTTACCTTTTATGCAAGTTAGTGGAACCAGACTTTTTTCCAAGTCATTTTGGGCCGTTTCTGTTGGTCTATTCATCATGAAATTTACACACAATATAAAAGACAACAGGCATTTTCAAATTATGTCAAAAACTGAAAAACAACAAAAATTGAGATATAAGGTTTTTTTCTGACAGCAACGATATGGAAGTTCTGCCAGAAGTTCAGGGACACCTCACCTTCTTTTGACTTTTTTTATTTTCAGAGTTACGTTTCAAATAAGTGAGACAAATAACTGCATTATTAACAATTTTGCTACACTTAGCTTTGTGTTCACTAAACTGTCTTTACTGATGTGACGAGTAGGCTTTGCCTTAGTAAAGAGTTTTTTTTTTGCCCTGAAAGTGGTTTAAAAACTAGAAAGGTCTGAGTGCTGATGAGTGCTGACATCACAACACATGGTAAGATGTGTGAAGTGTGGTCTTCTTCCCAAGCAAATACTTTTTTTCAGTTGTTTCTTCAGTTATGAAGTTTTTTAAAATCTAAAACTAAAATATTTTTGATGTAAAGGAGAATTCCACCAGTTTTATTCAAAAAATCTGCATAATCAAATCAATTATTGATTGATGTTAACAAAATCAGTCAGAGTGGTTTGATGTGCGTTCCATTCTAGAAAAACTTCCTGGGCGGTGGTTATAGGAACCGGATGTCTGAAGAGTTTAATGCCTCTAAAAGCTCCCTCACAGAAAGTTGCAAACACAAAGTGGTTATGAATACATTTCCTGATGCCTGAGACACTGTTTTACAATAGTTCTGAGATCAGCTTTTTGGCTAAAATATATCATTTTTTTAATCTATTCATGGTGGAGATGTTTATGCATGTTATAGGGCAAAACAGTCCCCAAAGAAAATGTATTCTTTCACATTTACCACTATATTACCAGCAGCAGCACTACACATAAAATTTAGGAGACACGTGCAGGTTCACTGGTGGTTTTGGATAGTAAATAAAATGGTTGTATTTGTGTTGTAGACATCACAACCCCTGGTTCCTATCAGCACCAATGTAAAAAAGTCTGCACTGATAAGTTTACAATGACATATCACATCAGACCACTCTGAATGACTTTGTTTACATCTCAGTGACTGAATTATGCAGAAATTTGCAAACACTGGTGGAAAGTTATGGCAAAAAATGTTTATTTATTGTTGTCAAACTTTTGAAAGGTAATAAATACTGAGTTTCTGAAGGGCTTACCAGCAAAGGGAAGTTCTTTGTGATTAGCCACTTGTCTTTTAATGGTCCACCATTTGCTGCGGAGCCACTGAGGTGAGCGAACGCTGCTCCACCCCTCAGCCAGGAGATCCCAGTTAATGTCATTCTCATCTTCCACGTCAAGCTCAAATATCCTATACAAAATATACAAACCAATTACTTTAACCTTCATTCACCACTGGCCATTCTGCTCACGTTCACACATGGACATCATCTAATGTGCATGTTAATTAGTAAATTGACATCACTAACCAAAAACACATCTAGCTGACTGCATCAAATGTATACTGTCATATACTCGCACAGACCTGTGGATAAGGTTGATGTCATCCTCTTTGGTCCATTCTGTGCCTCCACTCTGTTTCCAGTTCAGGTAGTTGAGCCATTTAGAGCGGCACTGCTTCTCCGAGCGCGTGCCGACCATATCAGCCACAGACGCCCACGAAACGCCCTGAGTCACCACATCACCCGCTTTAGTGCCTGTCAGTTCATGCACCACCTCCGCTAACCTCCTCTCCTCTTCTTCTGTCCATTTACCTGACAGAGAAAGAGGAAGAGAAAGAATGAATGAAGTGAATGCTGCTGATGTTAAATTAGCTCCCCTATCACCTTAATCTTCAAACCAAGATTTAAGGGGGAATTCCACTGATTTTGTCTGCATACTTCAATTATTACGAATTATAAAGTCATTCAGAGTGGTTTGGTGTGAAATACTCTTTTCACAGTGGCAGTGATGGGAACCAGACATCTGCGGAGTTTAGTTATTACATTAAATGGTTATGAATACACTGCCTGATACCTGAGATACTGTTGTATGATAGTTTTGAGAAAAAGTTTGGACCTAAAATGTTTTTTTAATACGTTCATCGGAGAGGTAAATACAAGATGCTGTAAGGCATAATCGTTCACAAATAAAAACATTTTTTTTTCAGATTTACCACTATTATACCATCAACATTACAGTACTAAAAGCTCAGGAGTCACATATAGGTTCACTGGTCATTTTGAGTTCCTGCCACTAGAGTCAATAAGCTTCCTTAAAATGCACCTTTTAACATCTGCTGTAGACACTGCTAAACACAAAAAACAGGTTAAACTCACAGAGACAAAGTTAGTATGTTTACTCAAATAACAGCTGGTGAGAACATCTCCAAAGAAGAAAGAAATATATGCAATTAAATAGGACAGGGTGTGTGTGTTTGATTGGTTACAAAATTGGTAGATTTCACTTGAACATTATTGGTCAAATTAGAACAGAATTACCATTAATGACTATATAATTAACAGAAAAGACTATATATATATATATATATATATATATATATATATATATATATATATATATATATATATATATAAAAGCAATCTAACGTAACACCAAACACAATGACTTATTTCACTATTTAGGTTCAAGGCTAGTAAGAGGCATCATAACCCTGGAGCGCAAGTGCTTTAAATTAGGCCTAGGGGAAGAGACTCCCTATGTCAAAATGCAGGCTTTATAGAGCACAGCTTCTTACACATACTCATTTTATAAAAGACTAATGTGCTGAACCTCTTACCAATAATATATGAGTGTAACTATAAAGTGAAGAATTAACAAATAAATTATTAACTAATTAATTAAAGAATAGACTGATTGAGGAAGGTATACAATTGAATCAACAACCCCACATCAAACCACACTGAATGACTTTGTTTGAATCTCAACCATTGAATTATGCACAAATTTTGAAAAAAAAAATCTATAATAATTTGCCATTATGGGAAAAAGAAATGACTATTCAGTCTAATGTTTGACATCAACACTCAGTCTGCAAGCATTGGCCATTTAACTGACAGTAAAAAAAATTTATATTAGGCTTATTCTGACCTGTATTGCAGGTGTCCTTCATGAGTCTACAGCGGTCCTTCACTGATGAGGCACTGCGGCCAAGAGCTGCCCCAATGGTGGCCCAGTCGTTTCCATGCTTCTGTCTGAGCCTGCCCAAACACAAACACATCCAACACTTATCACAACATACATATCTACATACATACTTAAATAAATAAATAAAAATGAATAAACTGTATGCAGGCCAAAACAACTGGACTCACTCTTTCAGTTTTTCAATCTCTTCTTGAGTGTATCTGAAAACCAGGAGACATTTTCTATGAATTTCACAGCAGAAAATACACTTCAGAAAGTAAACGTAGCGAATGTAACTTTGCAGTTATCATTAAAGCACAGCACCTGCACACCTGTATACTTACTTGCCTACATGGTTGCGATTGTCATACATTCGCAGCACGCGTCTGTATACCGCGAAAAGGGGGCGATTCAAACCCCAGGCAATACTGCGATAGAAATCCTTCCTCTCCTCTTTTGACATCTCAAAGATGATCTCTGTGGGGTCCTGGATCCCCCGGTTCTGCATCCAGGAGAACAGAGTGAAAATATGACAGGCTGTTAGTGTGATTTTCACCACAGAGAAAATGAATTTCTCCAATAAAAAGACATTTGCATTGCTTGCAGGTGCTTTTTACTGTGCACCATAAAAGCTAATGATGGGTACAGCACTACACCAGCTTCAAAAAAGCACCAAACATTCTAGGCTGGTTCATTGGATAGAAATTAAGCCTAGTCTAGGACTAAACTGTACTGTCAATAGTAATTAACCACTGAAAGCCTTTTTAGTCTAGAATTATTGATTTATTATGCATAACTATGTTATAACGTTTTAGTACAGGTGTACGAGCAGCATTAAAATGCAGTGCAAGTAAATCAGCCACAACAAAAATAATAATGAAATAATATGAAATAATGATAATATAATAACTCATTAGCAGGTTTTGAGCAAAAATCAGCCAACTTGTATCTTGGCTGATTCGACTGTGCACCTCTAAAATATTTGTCTTATAAATATAAACACATTTTAAAGGCAGGGTCTAGATCAAGAGAGCTTACCTTGAGGTAGTTGTCTATGTTGTTCATCAATATGTCAATCTCCTCCTTTGACCACATACCCTGTTTCCACTTGTGACCTGAGGAAGGAATGACATCTCATCAGTGTATTGTGTGTGTGTATTTTGTACATGTGTTACTTCCTGTAAAGTCCCTTAGAAACCTGTCACTATTGTTGTTTACAGATAAATACAATTTGGGAGCTTCTGTTTGTATCACAGAGATGTACCTTTGTTCACTAGTGTGTCCTTGTCCTCTTTTGTAGTAAACCAGGCTTGACTTACTGCCGACACATCGCTGGTTTTCCGTGGGGAGGACGAGTTCTCGTCCTGTAAGAATATACACGTATTACAGCACACAACATACACTTAACGTCTTAATAAAAGTTCTCACAAGAACTGTTTGGCTGAGGTACAGAGGCCTTGGCGGATGGTACCTGTGTTTCTTCAGTCTGCTGCTCTTCCAGCTCATCCTTCATCTCTGTAGCAGTCATTGTCACCTCAAAGCTCTCATCACTCTCTGAAACTGAAATATTTAATTAAATATGTTGCTTTTGCTTTAAGTAAGCGCTGGACGTTCAGGTGGGTGAAATAGTTAAAATATAACTGATAAAATAAGAAACTTGAGGACATTTTTATTATACAGTGCTGTGAAAATTATTTTTTGTTTTTAATTTGTCACATTTAAATGTTTCAGATCATCCAACTGATTTTAGGATAAGATGAAGACAACACAAATAAACATAAAATGCAGTTTTTAAACGAATGTTTCATTAGTTGAAGATGAAGATTTATTTAAAAACTTATATCACCCATGTGAAAAAGTAATTGTCCCCTAAATCTAAAAATTGGTCATTTGCAATAACTTGCAATGAGTCTTTTACATCGCTGTGGAGGAATTTTGGTCCATTCTTCTTTGCAGAATTGCTTTAAAACAGCTACTTGGGACGGTTTTTGAGCATGAACTGCTCATTTAAGGTCTTGTGTTTCTTTTGAGCCATTCAGAGACGGATTTGCTTGTGTGGTTTGGATCATTGTCCTGCTGCATAATCCGACTGTGCTTGAGCTTTAGGTCACAAACTGACAGGCAGACATTCTCCGTCAGAGAGCAGAATTCATGGTTCCATCAGATATGACATCATCCAGGTCCTGCAGAAGTAAAGCAGCCCCAGATCATCACACTACCACCACCATGTTTGACTGTTGGTATGATGTTATTATGGTGGAATGCACTGTTAGCTTTACGTTAAATGTAACTGGACCCATGTCCTTAGAATACTATCCCAAAAGTCTCGGGGGCTGTCTAGATGTTTTTTGGGAAATGCGAGACGAGCATTTGTGTTCTTTTTGGTCAGCCGTGGTTTGAGCCTTGCAGCTCTCCCACGGGTGACATTTTTGTCCAGTGTCTTTCTTACTGTGGAACTGTTTACATTTACTTTAACTGAGGCAAGTTACGCCTACAGTTCTTTAGATGTTTGTCTGGGTTCTTTTGTGACCTCCTGGATGAGTCATCGATGCCCTCTTGGTGAAATTTTGATAAGCTGGCCACTCCTGGGAAGGTTCACCACTGTTCCAAGTTTTCTCTTGTGGATACTGGTGCTCACTGTGGTTCTCTGGAGTCTCCGAGCCTTAGCAATGGCTTTGTAACGCCTTCCAGAAAGTGGCATCATGTGCTGCTTTTTTGAGACATTCTAGCTTGCTTCACACTGCCAGACAGGTTCTTTTTAAGTGATGTTAAGATTCAACAGGTAAGTAGCCATGGGTATGGCCAGTGAAATTGAACCCAAGAGGCAAGTGAATTTGTTCAACTGGTTGATTTAGTAACTAAGGGGGCAATTACTTTTTTCACATAGGGTCAGGCAGGGCCGAACAGCATTTTTCCATCAACAAATGAAATCATCATTTAAGCACAGGATTTTGTGTTTACTTGGGTTATCTCTGTCTAACTAAATGTAGTATGATGATCTGAAACACTCAAGTGTGACAAATACGCAAGAATAGAAGAAACTGGGAAGGGGAAAATACTTTTTCACAACACTGTATATCAATGAAGCATGCAGTTCATTTCTTTAGGTACCAAGTAAAAGCTTATTGTGATGCAATAACAATAAAATACCACATTAACCACACCTAACTGTACATATTCATACTGTTAGTCTACTCACTTGGAAGTGCGAGCACAGAGTAGCCGGAGGGAGTGGCAGGGGAGTCTTCAGTCTCCTCTTTGGACAACCGCAGTCGTTTGGGAATAGATTCGGCTTCCTCATCCGACCCCAAACCTCCATCATCTGCGTGTGCCATGTATAATCTATTACACCAAGCCATTTAGCTTTGTGCAACCTCTCAGTGATGCGATTCCAGAGCTTTCACACCAAGAACTATAAGACGTATTACACTTTCATACATTTCTGCTGATCATCAAATACAAGAAGTACACAGGAGAAGTATTTAGTAGAAGGATCACACAAAGTCTGCACCAACCAAACATCTCACCGTTCTGAGCGCAGTGCAGGATGATGTTGCCATCAGTGTCCTGGGTGAAAGTGACAGAATTGACTGAGTCTAGAGTCACGGCACCTGAGACATCTCCTGTGTTCATGCTCAGCCTGAGGAAACATGACAAAATAGACTTTACCTCACATACATGCAGACTCCAGCCTGTGAATATGGTGTCTGAACACTAATGTAAAGGGCCTGTACCATGGAAAACCAAGACATTCCCATGCTAGTTTTTAAAAAAGGGAGTTTGAAGCAATAGTTTGAGGGGCAGTCGTGGGTTGGAGGTTAGGGAACCAGCCTTGTGACCGGAAGGTCGCCGGTTCAATCCCCTCAGCTGACAGTACGTGACTGAAGTGCCCTTGAGCAGGGCACCTAACCCCCAACTGCTCCCTGGGCGCTGTGGATAGGGCTGCCCACTGCTCTGGGCAAGCGTGCTCACTGCCTCCCAGTGTGTGTGTGTTCACTAGTGTGTACGTGGTGTTTCACTGCACGGATGGGTTAGATGCGGAGGTTCAAACACAGTTAGCTAAAAGGTTAATTTCATTCATTCATATGTTAACAGTTTCAAAGTGTACCATTCACTACTCAGTTCATATATGGAAACACTAAGCTGCAAAAACAGCCTGTTTTCACTCTGTGATGTCAGGATAACTAACTTATTTATATATATTCATCTATCCAGCCTACAACAGTTTAGCCCCGCCCACTCATACTGAAGATCTAAGGCGTGTTTCAGCTCTGAGTGCTTTTTGAAAGAGGTGTAATACAGGACAACCAAGGAGAACAGAGCTCATTTATCGTATATCATTCTTACACAGTAACAGCCTGTTTAATTCTAAGGGGTAAAGAGAGGCTAGAAAAAGGTTGTAAAAATGAATGACAATCATTTTTGGCACTTAAAACCACACAAATGTGGAACTCGAGGGGGCAAAAAAAATAAAACACCATAAAAATGTAGGACATGGGTCCACAACAGCACTGCTGATCCACTCATACCAGCGCAACACACACTTACACCTCATCACGTTAGTGTCACTGCAGTGCTGAGAATGATTCACTGTCCAAATAATACCTGCTCTGTGGGGGTCCTGGCCACTGAAGAACAGGGTGAAAAGGGGGCTAACAAAGTATGCAGAGCAACAGATGGACTACAGTCTGTAATTGTAGAAGTACAAAGTGCTTCTATATGGTAAGTGGAGCTGATAAAATGAATAATGAGTGTAGAGACAAGTAGGGTGTTTTATTGTTGTTCCTGCGTGCTTCAAACTGGCCACCATTGCGCCAGTTCCAAATTCAGCCAGCGTGAATACTCTAAATGACTGGCGCCCGGTTGCTCTGACCTTCATCATAACCAAGTACTTTGGAAAGCTGGTCAGAGATTTTGTCTGCTCCTCACTGCCTGCCACTCTGGACCCACTGCAGTTCGCCAACAAACAGAACAGATCCACTGATGATGCAATAGCCCTGACTCTGCACACTGCCCTCTCCCATCTGGACAAAAAGAACACGTATGTGAGAATGCTGTTTGGACTACAGCTCTGCATTCAACACCATCGTGCCCTCAAGGATTGGCACTGAAATTCGGGATCTGGGTTTGAACTGTGCACTTTGCAGATTCTGAACTTCCTGACGGGCCGACGCCAGGTGGTAAGGACGGGCAACATCACCTCCTCCTCACTGACCCTTAACACCGGAGTTCCTCAGGGCTGTGTGCTCAGCCCTCTCTTGTATTCTCTGTACACCCACAACCGCTCAGCCAGACACAGCTCCAATGTCATGACCAAATTTGCAGATGACACCACGATTGTGGGCCTGATCTCCAATGACAACGAGGAGTCCTACAGAGAGGAGGTCAGCTTCCTGACACACTGGTGCCAGGAGAACAACCTCAAGACCAAGGAGCTCACAGTGGACTTCAGAAAGCAAGAGAAAGTGCACACCCCCATCACCTCTTCCACCTCAGGCGGCTGAGGAGGTTTGGCATGAACCCCCGCATCCTCAGAGCATTTTACACATGCACTGTGGAGAGCATTCTAACAGGCTCCATCACCACCTGGTATGGAAACTGCACTGCTATTGAGTGGAAAGCTATGCAGAGGGTAGTACTGACAGCCCAGCACATCACCGGGGTCCAGCTCCCAAACCTCCTGGATTTATACACCAGCCGCTGCCTGAGGACGACCAGGAGGATTCTAATGGACTCCACCCACCCAAGCCACTGTCTGTTCTCACAGCTGCCGAGCGGGAGGAGGTACAGAAACATAAAGTCCAGCCGGTTCCGAGACAGTTTCTTCCCCTGGGCCATCAAGCTGCTGAACAGCCAGTAGCGCTGGTGTATCAGTCTATGAGCCCATAACTACACTTCTGAATCATGATGATCTCCATGGACAATCTACACCTCATCCACACCTCAACAGACCTACTCTGATCTTAATGCACCTTCAATCTAGCAAATCTATACCTGCACATATTGATTGACATCTCGTACATTTTCTATCCACATCTTATATAATCTGGAAGATTTCTATATCAATATTCTATCCCCTGTGTACCTGCATCTCATTTATTTATCTACCTCAGACTCACTAACTGCACATGTGGAATGTGTACAATTGTACATATAGTTTTGTTTCAGAACTTATTACTGTACAACTGTACATTGGAATAGTGCAGTACTAGTACATATTGTATATGAATATTGTATGTGTATTTATTTAGAGTCAGTATATTTGTTTTTTTCATATACACACACACACACATATATGTATATATATATATATATATATATATATATATATATATATATATATATATGCGTGTGTGTGTAATATTTAAGTGCTACAAGGGGGCTACACACCTAAGATGTTCACTCACCTTCGCACCTGTGTAAGTGTGATGTGACAATAAACATGATTTAAATTTAGTCAACTACAAGATTTTCATAGGTATCTGTTGTATTCCTGCATGTCCTTTTCATAAGGGGTCAGCTACATTAGCAGAAACACCAGAACTAAATTGCTGAATGTATTCTTATACACAATAAATGACACCCTTTGGAAAGACATTATAACCGTTTATTCAGGATATTTAAAATAAAAACAGCTCTGCAGCACTGAAGTAAAACTCTAGCTGCTATATCCCTTCCAAACCATCACTCTGCTGATGTTCACAGATGTAAGAGCACAGCTAGGCCAGTTAGCTACAACAGCTTACAGTGTCTACAATATCATCGACTACTAAGTCAGGTGAAAATGCATTTTTTAAACGACTGTAAGGTTGACAGAGACATGAACACGAGTCTTGAGAAACCTAGTTAAAGAAGACTGTAAGGTTACTGCGTCCTAACCTCACTGATAGATTTGAACGCAGCAGAGGACGAGGCTGAAGTTGGCTTTCTAACGTTACTCGCCAGCTCCTTGTTCGAATGTTCCCGTTCCACCTTAAACGGTGCAGAATTTAAGGTGGAACGGGAACATTCAATACAATTCTGTTGTTGAACCAGAAAAAGGGCTCAAACAAGAACCAGAATACATAAACCAACCTAAATACATTGGATTAACATTAATATAATGAGTAGCTAATAGGAGAGCGTGTAAAAACAATACCACAAACTAACGTCAGCATGATAAATCTAAAATGTGTTTTATTTATGATATCCACAGCACATTATTGAGGAATCTGTGCATAAAAACTTCCAAAAAAAAACAAAACTTCGAATTCGCTAAATTTGTGTTCGAAATTTCCCGGTCCACCTTAAATGGTGCAGCGCCAGAACGTAGCTGCTGCGGCACTTAAGGTGGAACGGGGAAATTCAAACAAGCAACTGGCGAATAAGAAGCCGCCTTCAGCTCCGCTGCAGAGAGGGAAGAGAAAAAAGAGACGCCATGTTCGTGTGGAAGTGAATCTGCGCGGTTCGGCTGCTGTGGAGGAGTTAAATGTTGGAAGAAAGGAGTCCGAGTTCTGTAAAGTGGCCGTCGGGACCGGAGCGGCTCTCCGCGGCGACAGAACGCGAATTTAGAGTTAGATCTGGGTACTTACTTCCTGTTTTGGGTCCGGGCACTTCACAGGGACCAGGATGGAGACAAGTGCCAGGATGGAGGAGCGGCACGGCGGAAACGAGCGCCGCTCACTTCCGATACAAATTTTCATTGCCAGAAAAAAAAAATCCCCCACGGTGTGAATTAGCACTAAATCTCCTAACACCCCACACATACACCTGATATATGGACATATGGGCACATATAAAAAGATCAGGCTCATATTTCAGCATAACTGTGGGTAAAGGTCAATCAATACTGGATATATATGGATTATACAGACATGACTGATAGGTGGGTAAATAGTACAGTTTACTTTTAAATATTAAATAATTTGAATGTGTCAGGATCAATATTTTCATTTATTTCACGTTTTAATGAATTTATTGCATAACTTACATTGTGCATGTATTTAGAGTTTAGTCATGTAGCTATTACACTAATTTTGACTTCATTGGGAAGTATGTGGAGGAGACAAAGACAAGGCAGTAAAACCTCATATTATATCAAATAAAACTAGCATATCGCTGCTGTCGGAACAAAACCTTGTATCTCTGTTTTTTTTGTCATTTTTCAGTTTTTGACATAATGTGAAAATGTCTGTTGCCCTTTACATTGTGTGTAAATTTCATAATGAATAAACCAAAAGAAACAGCCCAGAAAAATTCTGGTTCCGTTGATTTACATTATTAGTAAAGTAAGTTTTTTTCTTCTCCTGTAAAGTTACCCTTTTGGAGCTACGAGGTTTTGTTGCGACAGCAGCGATAAATGAATAATATATGCTATCCATATATATGAATAATGTTTTCTATCTTACATTGTTACACATATATGTCTTGAAATATATGTCCCATATTTGAAAATGTCCAATTTCAATTAAGTTGGCATGAATGTCATGTATGTCCACAAATATAAGTTGGACATATGGGAAATCCATATCTGATGATATATGTCACATATTTAAAACCCTTATATTGCCATATATCAGATCTCTGTATGGGACGAATGTGGAGTGAAATTAAAGTGGAGCTTTAATTTTTAACCTGCAGCTTTTATCTGTTCACAAATATCACAATTAGGATTTCTGCGTTTCTATGACAACTGCGCCACCTGCTGATAAGCGGAGGTGTAAACCTGTAAGTAAGGGTGGGTTGCACCAGCAAGGATTAAGCTTAAACTTGGATTAAACCAAGGTTTATCTATTAATTGTGTTACGCCAAACTTTACACCTACACTTTTAAAGAAGATGGTTCTTCAAGGGTTCTTTAGTAAAGGGAAGGGTTCTATTCAGAGCAATGAGTTCTATATTTCATGCTTAAATGGTTCTTTGCATGGTGAAATGGTTCTTCAGATTGATGGAGAATGTGTATTCTATATAGAACTCATAGATTAGAACCCTTGAAGAACCATCTTTTTGAAGAGTGTACAGTCTTAGCAAAAAGCGTTCTCTATAGTACCAAAAAATGACTTGTAACAATAGTGAAATCCTTTTTTGGTGCTATGTAGAACCCTTTTCAAAAAGGTTCTATATAGAACCATATACCAAATGTTCTCCATCATTCTGAAGAACCATTTCACCATGCAAAGAACCCTTTAATCATGCAAAGTTCTTTGAGTGTTCATGGTTTGAGTGTTTTCTACAGTAAATCTAGATGAAATTGAATTCTGTTGCACCGTCACTTTAAGCTCAGATTCAAACTTCATTCAGGGATTAAAATAAACTTCCAATTTTGGGGTTTTAAATATCCAAAATGTGTTTAAAAATAGGCCAGAAAAAAAGAAATAATGACTCAAGAAGAATTACCTTTCCAAAAAAATACAGTACAAAATACACTGATCAGGCATAACATTATGACCACCTCCTTGTTTCTACACTCATTGTCCATTTTATCAGCTCCATTTACTATATAGGTGCACTTTGTAGTTCTACAATTACAGACTGTAGTCCATCTGTTTCTCTGCATACTTTGTTAGCCCCCTTTTACCCTGTTCTTCAGTGGTCAGGACCCCCATGGACCCTCACAGAGCAGGTACTATTTGGGTGGTGGATCATTCTCAGCACTGCAGTAACACTGACGTGGTGGTGGTGTGTTAGTGTGTGTTGTGCTGGTATGAGTGGATCAGACACAGCAGTGCTGCTGGAGTATTTAAACACTGTGTCCACTCACTGTCCACTCTATTAGACACTCCTACCTTGTCAGTCCACCTTCTAGATGTAAAATCAGAGACGAAAGCTCATCTGCTGCTGCACAGTTTGTGTTGGTCATCCTCTCGTCCTTCATCAGTGGTCACAGGACACTGTCCAGCGCAACACACACTAACACACCACCACCACATCAGTGTTACTGCAGTGCTGAGAATGATCCACCACCCAAATAGTACCTGCTCTTTGAGGGTCCATGGGGGTCCTGACCACTGAAGAACAGGGTAAAAGGGGGCTAACAAAGTATGCAGAGAAACAGATGGACCACAGTGAGACAGTGAGTGGTCATAATGTTATGCCTGATCGCTGTATGGAGCCCCACTACATGTTATTACCTTAATAAAAATAATGTCTTAATTTACATCCTGTAAGTTGTGTGAATGAGATAAGCATATAGTCCCATGCCTTATAATGTAATGATCTCATTTCCACACCTCACTGCATCATGGCCACAACTTAATTATCTCATTCACACATACAAACTTAATTATCTTGTTTCCACGCCTTACTGCAGAGTCAGCTACTGGTGACCACCCTTCTTAATGAAAATACATCATGGCCAGAACTTACTAAGAGATGTGAAAAGGATCCTAATGCATGGCCACAACTTAGTAAGATATGGGATCAAGATAGTTACGTTATAGCCATGACTTAGTAACTCTAGGGAATGAGATAATTAAGTCCTGACCATGACTTAGTAAAGCATGGAAACAAGATAATTAAGTTGTGAAAGTTACATTGTGGCTACAACTTACTAAAGCATGGGAATGAGATCATTAAGCCTCAGCCCTTTTCAGTGTTTTTGCCTTTCAGTCTTTGTCCTCCATTAAACACTACTGATGGACAGATTTTTCAAAACAAAGACTTTGCTCTTATCGCATGTTGACTGTGCTAGTCATTGTAACACACCCAGTAAGACTGCTTGGCCTAAATTTAGCTGCTTATTGTGTTATTATATGATCTCCATATAATACAGTTCATTAAAACAAAAGCATTACCTGTCAAGGATGTGAAGGGTAGGTCTCAGGTTATGCCGATCAGATGTCCTTGTTTCTACACTCATTGTCCATTTTATCAGCTCCACTTACTATATAGGTGCACTTTGTAGTTCTACAATTACAGACTGTAGTCCATCTGTTTCTGTTTGTTAGCCCCCTTTCACCCTGTTCTTCAGTGGTCAGGACCCCCATGGACCCTCAGAGAGCAGGTACTATTTGGGTGGTGGATCATTCTCAGCACTGCAGTAACACTGACGTGGTGGTGGAGTGTTAGTGTGTGTTGTGCTGAGTGGATCAGACACAGCAGTGCTGCTGGAGTTTTTAAACACTGTGTCCACTCACTGTCCATTCTATTAGACACTCCTACCTTGTCAGTCCATCTTGTAGATGTAAAGTCAGAGACGACAGCTCATCTGCTGCTGCACAGTTTGTGTTGGTCATCCTCTAGTCCTTCATCAGTGGTCACAGGACGCTGCCCACAGGACGCTGCTGGCTGGATATTTTTAGTTGGTGGACTATTCTCAGTCCAGCAGTGACACTGAGGTGTTTAAAAACTCCAGCAGCACTGCTGTGTCTGATCCACTCTGACCAGCGCAACACACACTAACACACCACCCGCCAAATAGTACCTGCTCTCTGAGGGTCCATGGGGGTCCTGATCACTGAAGAACAGGGTGAAAGGGGGATAACAAAGTATGCAGAGAAACAGATGGACTTCTTTTATAATTACTGTATAATTCAGCTCTTTATTTGTAAATTCTCATCCTTCAGTTTTGCGTCTGTATACTTCTTAAGCCCTTTAATCATTAACCACCTGGACATCAATCAAATTCATAGCTCAAATAATCAGACAGTAAAACCAGCAGGTTCATTCTCAACACTTTTCTCAGTCGTTTCAGGCAGACAGAATAATAAACTCACAGCACTGTGGCCATTTAGCTTAAACGGACATTCTAACTTTAACTGTATAATAATATGTTTTTAGTAGTTTGAATGCTCTTAAACTCTTAAAAAAGAGGGTTCTTCAAGGGCTTTTTAGCAAGGACAATGATTCTATATAGCACTCAAAGAACCATTTACATGATTACAGGGTTCTTTGCATCATGCAATGATTCTTCTTTATGATTGATGGAGAACGTGTTATATATGGTTCTATATAGCACCAAAAAGGGTTCTTCTATTGTTACGATGAAACAGCTCTTCATTCAGCAACATTATCATTTTTTTCCCCCAAAATTAGCCAAGTTAATGAAATCATCTTTCGTCGTTTAATTTTCCATAAAACCTATAAAAAACTGCATTATGTTTGTTATTTTAAAAAATCAAACATGTCAGATGTTAATAAAGTTTCACTGGACAAATTCTGAGAGGGAGGAATCACAAGATAAGCAGCTGGGCAAAATGCAGCAGGTCTATCAACCAGTCTCCACCAAACAAAGGCAGGAATTACATGAAATCTGCCAAAAATAGACCCAGAACCAAACTAACACATTAAGCAGCAGGTTTACGAATAATGTAGGGAAGCTGGAAAGGAGATCCGAGGAGATCCTGTGATTTTCAGCTGTATCGTCATAAGATCTTCCCATTTGTTCACTGATGGTGTTTTGCACCTCCAGAAGCAGCTCAGACTGAATTACAGACATCCAAGCAACATGTGAAAGCTCTCATAAACTTTCAGCTCCTGAATGAGGGGGTAAACTTGTTTTCATGTCTCCGTTTAATTGATTTTGTGAGGAGCAAATGACATCTTTGGCACCTGATGACATTCCGTTCTTTTTTTCACGCCGAAATTCCCCCAAAAATGACGCCATGTCCAAAGTGTACAGTTTTGTCGTGAAAGTAGTTTACATTTTCAAGTTGTTTCAATTGTAACGGTCTA